TGACAAGGTCACCTGGGCCCATGCCAGACAATAAGGGCTGGGGACAGAAAAGCAGTGAGGGCACAGTATCCAGGGCAGGACATGCTGGGTGAGACATCAATACTCTCTATGGGCAAGGAGGTGACAGGCTCAGACTATGCTCACCCCTCATGCCCACACTGAGGTGGTCCATTACCAGGCTGCAGGGGCTTCCACAAGTGGTAGGAGGTGGAGTCAGGCTCCTCTAAAGCAGTCACTCCTACTATGGGTGGTAAGATGTGTGCAGATGCTGATGGTTGACAAAAGCCCAGTCAAATCACCTGATAGCTGTATGACCTTGGGCAGGTGGCCCTGTGAGAGCCTCAGGTCTCCCTATGAAGCCATAGGGCAAGTCCTAGGGAACAGTCAGTGTCACTTTGTCATACAGGCCTGCTGGCACAGCTATTCCCCATATCACACCACCTGTGTACTTGGAGAGCCCAGGGTCCTGGAGGTCTGATAGCAAAGGCCAAGCTAAGCCTGATAGCAGACACCCATAGTATCTCCTGGGATGGCAGCTGCAGATCAGGCCTCGGCCCTTTAGTCTTGAATCCTGTCGAGGTACTGGGGACAGGAACCCACACCTATTTTTTTAGATGTGCTTGGTAAGGCAGAGACGTAGAGATGTAACCTGGGTCTGATCAGTAGCTGGGTTGGTCCCTTCTGCTTGGGGTTCCTGGATTCCTGCCCTCTCCTAGTGCTATTAGCCAGATGTGCAGCTAGGGCCTAGTCTGAGCATCCTAGAGCCTGGGATGGAGGAGACCTGAGGATAGCTAGAGGAGGCATGTCCTCCTCCAGGAGACATTTACTACCTCCCTCACTTTCTTAGCTCTGCTACCTTGGTTTCCTCTGTTGGCTCTCCAACTCTGGGTATACCCCACAACCCTCCCTAAACTCATGAACGCTCTGTGGACAGTGGGGCCTAGGTGTCCTGGAGGAGATCCAGTAGAGGTGCAGGCCTGAAGAGATAGCCATGGTGGGAGGAGATCAGAGACTCCAGGGAGGCCCCAGGAAGTGGTGGAGGGCCTGGAACAAGCAGAGTGCAGGGCCTGGAAGGGAAGGCAGAGTGGAATGAAGGATGGGTCTTCTGGACAGGGATGTGGCATGGCACTGGAGCAGCTGAGGGTCAGTAGAGCCCTGGTTCTCGACTCCAGGGCCCTGGGGCAAAGCAGCCATCCTGGGCTTCCAGGGCTCTGGATCCTAACTCTAGCTCCTCCACAGGGCTCTGGGGTTCTGTGAACTCAGCTTTGAGCCACCAGCCAGTTCTGGACCCCAGAATTCTTCCCTACATCTGTGGAAGAGATTTGGAAACTGAGCCAAAGGCTCTAAGACTAGGCAAAGAGGTTCTAGTTTAAGTGACATAGTTGTGACATGGCTTCCCTGATTCTCTAATGTTCCCTGACCTGGCATCATGATCTCACTTAAGGAGTAAAGAGGCTGGACACCAGCCAGGACCTCGGGGTCTATTCCACACAGAACCCCACTGGCTCCTGCCAATGGCTGCCAGCTGCATTTCTCAGAACCAGACTGCTGCAGTCTGCTCCTCTGGTTCTAGACTGCCATTCTTAACAGTACCCTACAGTGGCAGGCTTGTTTCAGAGCTGTGTACCCATTGTGGTCCCTGATAACCACATGTGGCCAGTGCCCCCTGGAAGTCAAGTTCATTTTCATTAATTTTAATTGATGCATGCCCTTAGGTTGGGCCTTCCAGTCCTGTCTCTGGCAGGATAAAGAGGTCAAGTCTTGGCTCCAAATACACCTGGGACCTGGAGGTAGCGCCAGTGTTCACTGAGGGGTCTCAATAAGCTGATTCTGAAGTTCATGAAAAATAGCTGCCCATGAAGAGCATGAACAGCAGAGAGGCGCTTGTCCTAACAAGATGCTATGTAAGGGGTGGGGGACACAACCCGAGTTCAATCCCTAGAACCAGGCATGGTAGCACATGCTTGCAATCCAATGCTGGGTGGTGCAAACAGATAGGCAGTAGATCTCTGGAGCTTATTGGTCAGCCAGTCCAGCCTACTAGGCAAGCTCCAGGTCAGTGAGAGGCAGATTTCAAAAGAACAAAGTGACAGTGCCTGAAGAATGATGCCTGAGGCTGTTTTCTGATCTCCACAAGCACACAGAGAGATGTGCCTGCTCTTTTTTTCTTTCTTTCTTTCTTTCTTTCTTTCTTTCTTTCTTTCTTTC